TATATAATGGTATTCTATGTATATGTGTGTATGTGTTTGTATGTATATTTATATGTATGTGTAACCCAGCCTCCCTAGCAATTTCATCTGTTCTCTCTTAATTCCCTGAAATGAAATTCAACCAAGCCCAGAAATTTGATCAACAGAAATTACCTTCCCCCAAGTCTTATGATAACCCAGGATTGCTCACCATTTCTGAGTAATTAATATTCCCCTCCTCTATATGCAAATAGGAAGGTACTGGTACTTCAATCCTAGGGCTCACTCCCTATTCTGGTTCACAGCTTAATGTACGCATGTTAGTTTTCCCTGCTTAAAAGCAGCTGAAACGCAGGAACCAAGCATTATTTCTTTATGAACTCCTTCAGTGCCTAGCACTGTGACTGACACAGACACACAAACATTATTGAGCTGCTCCTAAATGGAACCATAGAAAAATGATATTTTGAAAGAGTTGTTCAGGATGATTAATCTGGCTGTGGCATGAGGGAGAAATGGAGAAATACAGAGAATAGAAGCAGGAAGTAGCTATGATGATATGCTAGTATGAGATTAGGAGGGATGAAACCAGGGTGATAGCTATGGGAATGGAAGTAGAGGGCCATGGGAGAGAAAATGTGGAGAGATATAATACGTACAGCCCGCTGGTGATTGCTGTGGGGGTGAATTAGTGTGGCAGAAATGGCAACTGATGATCAAAAGTTCATGCTCCTCTAAATTGTCAAGAAATGACTGCCCCATGGAGAACACATTTCCCAGCCCCATCTGGCCCTACACGGAGCTACATATAGTATACTTTTACTATTGAAAAGTGAATGGAAGGACTGGGAATGTGGCTCAAGCAGTAGCACGCTCTCTTAGCATGCATGGGGCACTGGGTTCGATCCTCAGCATCACATAAAAATAAAATAAAAAGATGTTGTGTCCACCGAAAACTAAAAAATAAAAAAAGAAAAGAAAAGTGAAAGGAAGTGATGTGTGTTGCTTCTGGATCAATGTGGTTAAAACTCAGGTGAAAATCTTCATGGTCTTTTGTTCCGTCCACCACCTAGAAGGAAAGAACTCTAGAGCCCTGAAAGAGAAAAGAGCCTGGGTCCTTGAATGGTCCCCTACCAACTGAGAACACTGACACTCTCCTTTACGTAAGACATGAATTGGTTTTGTGACCATCCCACTGATTCTGTGTTTGCCCATCGGAACAAATAGAATTTCTCAGTTAAAGCAGAAAGGGACAGGAAAAGTCACAGAGGCTTCAAGTTTATGGTAGCATCCAACACTTGGAAGGAAAACAGCACTATTTAAATATAATGAAAAGTTTCCAGAGGAGGACCATCTAAGAGGGAAAAGTTAGCTGAGCAGCATCATCCGTGAGGCAAGTGCCAGAATAATGTCCTTATTCAACTCATTTAACCTTTCCCTCAATTTCCTCATCTGGAGGATAATATATGGAGCTAAGTCTTATAAACAACAAATAGCTATTCTAATGTAAAATAGTATTATTGTAATCTCATCATCCACTTTTAAAACCATAGGAGACCTTACAGTTCATTTCAGTGAGGAAAAACATTAAATTTCATATAGCAATTACTAAAACTGGGCACTGCATTAATTCATATAATTTTTATGATACAGATACTATTATCATCATCATCAATCTAAAGGTGAAAAAACTGAAACACAGATGGGTTAAGTAATTTTCCTCAAGGTCACATCACCAATAAGTAGAAAAGTCGAGATCAAGCCAGGCAGCCTGGCTCCCAAATCTATGCTCTTAACCATCACAAAAGATGTCCTCTCTAGGTGCAGCTTCTTCATTTTAGATGTGGAAACTCAGGTCATGTCACACAGGTGGTTATGCACTAAATATAGAGTACAGTGACAGAGAAGGCAATTTTCTCCCCAGGAAAATTCTAGTTTCTCATAAAAGGCTGGTTCTGCAGAAAATCACTGAGCTGAGAATGCATAAATTACTAAGGAAACTGAACCAGATATTTGAGCAGAATTTATGTTGATAAGAGAAAAAACAAAATGAGCCTTACCCTTGCTTTATCTTTCAAATAAGAAACAGGAGGAAAAAGCAGATGGAGTTATTTAAATGTTTTTCACGCAAATTTTTCCTGTGGTTCTAAAACATGTGAAGGTCTTTAGAGAAAAGAACTCCAGTTCTTTGAACCCCTTCCAACACAGAGAAAGAAATGATCCCAGGGTGACTTAAAAAAATAACATTAAGTTCAATTATCTTTCTGAAAGCATTGCATGTGGTTGATGCCAACTGAACCTCCCTCCTGACAAAACCACCTATACAAGAGACTATCCTTCATATGCCATCTGAAGCCCTCCCATGAAAGAATGGGTTTTCCTGGCATGTGACTATTCACTTTTGCTTATGTTTAGACCACAGAAAATCTCATGATCTAGTTGCCCCAAGGGACAACATGGTGCTTCCCTGCCACCAACTGAGGACAAAATCCACATGTCTGACTTTGTGGAATGTCATCCTCTTAAGACCCAGGTGGAATATCTTTGATGAATTTCCAGATATTTAATGTGCTCCCTTCCCATTTCCCACACCCAGACCCCACTCTGGGATCTACAGGTTGTTATAGATCCATACAGGTATTTTTGAGTATGTTTATCATCTCTATGTAGACTGCTTATTTCTATCAATATATTGGCCTTGGCTAATTTAAGTGGTCCCCAAACTCAAGACATATTGATAAAAAAATCTCTTTTTTTAAAAAATGGCAAGATAAACCAAGAAGAAAAAGCAAATCAAAAAAAAGGAGAGGGTTGAGTAGGGGAATTGCAGGACAGAGGTCTCTGGATGGTGAAGAGAAGAGGCCAAATACCACATTAACTTTTCCCCTTCCTGTTCTGCCTGTAGGAGGCTCCAGAATAGATAGGGGTCTTTATTGTAGCACTAATGAGGAGAAATACAGATAGCACATGCATAACAGGCTATCAGAGAGATAAGGAAAAGAAACAGGTATTCTTTGCCTGTGAACTTCACCACCAGCTCTCTTGTATCTTAACCTAATCAATCCTCACAACAGTCCACTTTATAGGAAACTGAGGCCAAATGGTTTTAGTGATGTGCATAAGGTCATAGAACTCTAAACAGACCACATCCTCGAACTACCGAGACTCTATGCCCCACACCACACCTCCTCTGGCATCACCATGTGAATTCAGGAAAGAACATGGGTCTTGCCATCAACCAGCTGTATGATCCAGAATGAATTACATCCTCTCTAAAAAGTCTCAGTGTCTTCACTTGCAAAATGAGGTTACATTAGAAATGGATGATCCACAGTTCTGAATGTCTATGAATCCAGAAGTCTGTATCCATGAATTTTAACAAACTACTATTTTTAAGCTGCCAGTTATGTTCTATTAGTGAGTCATGGAATTAATTAATAGGTAGCCACCATTCCCCGTTTTTTTAGTGAAATAGAACAGAAAAGGCTTGAATTGATAAAGGTAAGATAAGGTGAGAAAAAATTGTGTAAGATAAAATAGAGGGAAAGAAGTCGGTATACATCCTTTGCAGTTAAGGGTGAATGTTGTTTGTAAAACTATGTGTGTGTACCCTCTGGTAATACAAAACTTATTTTTTACAATGGGTCACAGTCAAACATGATTGAAGCCCAACTTTAAAACTCTAGGCTCACATGGTCAATTACAATAGAATTTTAATCTAGTCCCTAGACATTTGCTGCTTTTTGTTGTTTGTTTTCGTGGTGGTTATTTCTGCTTCCCCTTTGGTGTCCATCCCCCTTAGATAAGGAGTTCTCATCCCCTCCTTCCCTTTCTCACTTGCTCAGCATCTGCTTTTCTTGGGGAGGCTTCTGGTGGCTGTCACAGAGGGGCGTTCTGAAGGAAAGGAAGGTGTCCCCGAAGTGTTGAATAGAATTGCAGGGCACGCTTAGCTTATGGCATCTGGTTTCCTGAAAGGGAACAAAGAATGTTGAAAGTCTAGTTAGGATGGTTCTGAAGGCCCTAGAGATTGTGGACAATAGTGTCATTGTCTTGGAGGGACAGGGTTGCAATTACTTACATCTCTGGCTCTTCTGCCCTCTCCTTACAGGGAGGTGACTAATGTAAGTATGTCCCAAGTCTCCAAATAAGATTCTCGTGTAAGAGACCTATTTTGAGGAAAGTGGGGGTGGCATCTAGTTTCCTAAGATTGCTGTCTAAGAGAAATCATCTAAAATAATACAAGAAATGAAAGTTTCTTGGAAAGGGGATTGAGGATAAGGGTGTCTATAGAATTGCTCAAAACCACTGTCCCCAAAGGAAGGATATCCCCACTCTCACTAGTTCAAGTTTAAGAAGGTGACACAGTCTGGCTGGATAGAATTCCATGATTCTAGAGACTTCCTAGGAAGATTTCCAATTGTTGTTCCTTTCCTGATCCTCCTGAGTACACAATGTCTATCTATGAAATTCAAAATTTGAAGTCAAAGTCACTGACCAGAAAATGAGGCTCCCTTCTTTATCAGATTTTCAGTCATTCAATGTCTGAGATGAAGGTTGGTAAAAACGTTTGACTGAGACCTTCAATTCTAAATCATCTGGTGAAGCATCCTAATTTTTCCTATCAGCCTGGTCTCCGGATAGATCATTTTGGAATAATGTCCAGGAAATTATTAATAATGAGAAGGCATTGTTCCTAGAAGCCAGTCTATCAAAGGAATATGAAATATAAGTGCAATCTCTTGGACTCTGCATAAATAGTCTTTTTGTTCTCTCAATGACAAAATTGTGTCTCTTTCAAGGGGTTGTAGGTAGAGGAAAGACAAGGATAGTACCCTAGATCCTAATTGACTCCTGGCACTGAGCTCTGTGCACAGAGAATCGCAGTGTTCATTTGAGATCTGCCTGGAAGTGATGCCTTGTCAAGTACTACTGTGTTAAGCAGCCCCTTGTGGCTTTATAAAACGGTTGACCTGCTATTGACCTGCTCTGTCACTGGTGCTCAGGGGCAGTCTCTCTGGCTAAATATTTATGGGCCCCATGATAGATTATAATAAAGATTATAAAGCCTCAGCCAAGGCCTAATGGCTCCCAAATGTCCCACAGTACAAGGAGCAGTTCCTAGCAGAGGAGCATGGGTGAGTCCCTTCACGGATACAGGCCAGGTCAGCAATAATGACTCCAGAGACACTTCAAGCAATGGCCCCCTTCTAAGTCCCATCCCCTCAAAACAAAGCCAAGTGGTCTACCAGAGCCAGCCCTACATGGGCAGAAAACAAGCTTTTTCTTAATACATGCCCAGCTCCAAGGGTGAGCACAAATTTCTATAGGTAAAATCTCATCTTTATCATGAAAATTAATTTCCTAGGAACTGTTTTTCTAGTCTTCCCACTGGGAAAAGGAGTTAGGCACCATTCCTGCCCTGGTCATGGTCAGATAAGTTAAGTACTTGTACTAAAGAGAGAACCAAGGCACTAAAAATAAAAAACCTCATTTAGAATATCAGCATTGACATCACATGTGAGCCATGGAAAGCCCACCAAAGACTACAGGAGAAGTCGAAGCTTTAAGCTCATCATTACTTACCCTAATATGTATCTCCTACTGTTATGGGGAGCCGCTTCAGAAAATCTAAGTCCAAATTCAAATCAATGAGAGCTCTGTGGGAGAACAGCCGCTTCCTGGGAATTTAAAAATGGAAACCACAATTCAGGGGCTTTCCTTAGTGTCATGCAGGCAAGCCAATCACAGAAGCTAGAAAAAAAGCGGTCAGCCTTGCAACTCAGTTAACCACATCTTGGGTCTGAGCTTGTGGTAGACCATCGTATCCTGAGTTTGAGGAGGTGGTTAGCAGGGGCGAGAATCTACTTCAAAGTCTTGGGTCACCAAGACCACCATAACCTGGGTTGAGTACATTTTGTGGGGTACAAAGTACAGAAAACAATATAAGAAAACAGCTTTCATTTCAGTTTCTCAGAAACAGCTCTTATAACAGTTTTGTTGTTTTTTTGTGTTTTGTGTTTTTTTTTTTTTTAACAGAAGGCAGCAAAATGGGGACTTAGGCCTGTCTATGACAGTTCTTGCTTTATAATTATCTTATCTCATTATCAAAATCTTATATCTATCGTCTATATTTTTTACTAATCTATAACCTATAACTTACACTCTTATTGATTGTATTTATCAGTTCACACCACAGCACTACAAGAATTATGAGCATTAGATGAGATGATACAAGTTTTTAGAACTCTTCATATAATTCCCAATATATATTTCATGATAGGTTTTCTCTATCTTAAAAAGTCTATGACTATTATTATTAGCTCAGTGGACATTTATCATAGGAAAAGACCTAATGGAACAAGTCAAATGGTAGCCTGGATCCAAGAACTAGACTCCATATCCCAGTGTTCTCTCTGGTATGGTTTTATTTGTTTATTTATTTATCAGTGTCTCCATTCTTTAACATTTATATGATGGTTCACAGGGAACAAACATGTATTTAAAATTAAAGATCAAGAAAAATCAGAAAATGTCAAGATAAGGCCAAGAACACTAAGAAATTGAATAGCTGCTCTAGCTGATTGATTTATTGGGAATGAGTTTTCTGAGCACCAACAAAAGGAAACTGAATTAATTATTCAGTATTCCTTGGTTAAGAGGAGGGAAACAAATGTGCCAATTCCTTAAGGGAAGTAGTGTGTTCTTAAGTTCATACCTAAAACAAATTTCTCCCGTGGAGCTTCCTATTAGAAGCACTATATAGATAATGCCCTCAAAACAGAAAATTAAGTCACAATTTCAACAGGACTCTTCCTTTGAAATTTCCCTCGGTAAGAGTCAGCAGGGTAATAAAACAGCTGAGTGAAAGCAGTCTGCTGGAGGGTATCCAAGATGGACCAAATACACTTTTCCTATGACCTAATTTGATCAAATGAACAACAGAGTATCTGAAGAAGAAACATAAAAAGTGTTTTCTTAATGGAAAACACTAGAATCATGAACCATTGCCCACTCCACCCTCAACTCCCCCCATTCTTTAGAATCTATTCTACCAGCCCACCATGACCCCATCAGAACCGGACACAGATGGTTAGAACCAAGCAGGCCTGAGACTATCAGATGGCTATGGACCCAAAAGATATTGGACTCAAAAGATGAGCAGAGTTAAACAGATAGTTCCTCAGGAATTTGAATCTAAAATTCCAGCTGGAAGCAGGGACAGCTGTCAAACCATCATAGGGCAAAGGTGGACCATGCGCTAAACGCAAAAGGAAAGTAGATGCAGCATGTAATCAGGAGAAGAGTGAAAACAGAGCACAAAGACACAAAGGGAGAAACAGGATGAGGGGAGATCCATGCATCTTCTAAGGGAGATACAGTGGTTACAAACTCTCCCTCAAAGCTGTCTTGGATCCAAAACCACCTCCCATTTCCAAAACTTACCATGATAAGAGCCTCCTTTATTTGGATTCCCAGAGGAGCCCTGGATCTTTACAATAAAATCCCCTTTTTGAGGGGGAAGCTGAATGAGTATTCCTTGCAAACAAACGAGCCTGATTAAAACACAGGCTTTTAATAAGAGTTGAACAACAGACAGAACAATGATCTAGTCTCTAGATGGCAGGCAATGTGCTGTTGAGTGAAGGCAGATCCAACCCATGAGAGAACAAAACCAGATGGTTTAAAACACATCAGTCAGATGAAATTCAAAGGTATTGTGCTGAGTGAAAGAAGCCAGTCTCAAAAGGTTATACACCGTATGATTCCATTTATATGTCACTTTTGAAAAGACAAAAATGATAGTGGTAGAGAACAAATCAGTGGTTCCCAGCTATAAGAGTTTGGGACAAGTGTGACTATAAAGGGGGAGAGCAAAGGAGTTTTGAGGAGTTTTGAGTTTTGAGGAACTGGTCGATATCCTGATTGTAGTGGTGATTACACAAACCTATACTTGTAGTTAAAGTCACAGAACCACAAAAAAATAAATGAAAAAGGAAGGTAGGTAGGGAGGGAGGGAGGGAGGCAACAGTGAACTCTTGAGTCAGCAGGGTCACAGAAGAGCATCTCAGCCAGACCAGGAGGAGGGCCAACTCTGGGTTGGCATAACGCTCTCCTCAATGTGTACCTTATCTTGTTATCCCTCAGTCCCCTCTCTTCTTCCTAGCTGGCACTGCCTTCTAAATAGAGTCAAACCAAGGAAATGAGCAATGAAGATGGAGTTTCAGGTATCAGCTACAAGATGAGAGAGGTTTTGATAGCTGGGATCAAAAGGTCTTGCCATCCCTCCTAATATCACACTACGATACAGATTATCTTCTAATCTTCCTATGGGTGGTCTTGTTATGGGGAGAAACAAGATGGCCTAAAAGTAGTACTAAAACTCCTCAGGGGTACAGAAGGAAAAATCCCTAAGCAGGGAACAGGCTGAATACCAGGGTAGAGAGAAGTAAGCAGCTTTTGCTCCAGTAGGAATGATTATGTCAATATTGGGGTTAGGAGTTATGGGTGGAAAGGAAAGACCTCTGGCCTTCTCTGGCTTAAGCCACTTGGACCTTCCTGGTGAGGCAGGAAGAGGCTTTCCACATGTTCCAGCACAACTTCCCAGGCTCCACCAACAATGATACTTTGCTTTCCATTGCTCCATTCTCCACACGTGTATTTCCTTCAGGAACCTTGCAGGGAAGTGTGGCTGCTGAAGTGCTACTGACCAAATGTCATCATAATACTGTCATAATCTATCCCAATGTGTTCCTTCTTTTTATAAAAAAATCTTTATTTTTTTTAGTTGTAAGTGGACACAATATCTTTATTTTATTTATTTGTTTTTATGTGGTGCTGAGGATCAAACCCAGGGCCTCACACATGCAAGGCAAGTACTCTACTGCTGAGCCACAACCCCAGTGGCCCCCCCATCCCCCCACCCCCCTCCGCCAATGTGTTCTTTCTAACAATGGATTCTGTTGTTATACTCCTGCCACTTAGCACTGTTGGCTTATGGTACAAAGCAAGTAATAATTAGTGAGTGAGTGAGTGAAAGAGGTGCAAATAGACAAAGGAAAGAGTAAGGAAGGAGAGGGAGGAACTCCTTGGAGAGCATGTTAAGAGAACATACTAGTCACTTGCTCAACAGATATTGATAAGTGGTGGCTGGAGATCTTCCTTTCACCTCTCTATAACAATTCTTCACCCTTGTCCATCCAGCACTGTATCTCAGGAAACCAAACTCTACCAATTGCATTAATTTGGCACCAACTCTGTATTGGCATAATGCTCTCCTCAATGTGTACCTTATCTTGTTATCCCTCAGTCCCCTCTCTTCTTCCTAGCTGGCACTGCCTTCTAAATAAAGTCAAACCAAGGAAATGAGCAATGAAGATGGAGTTTCAGGTATCAGCTACAAGGTGAGAGAGGTTTTGATAGCTGGGATCAAAAGGTCTTGCCATCCCTTCTAAAATCACACTACGATACAGATTATCTTCTAATCTTCCTACGGATGGAACCCAGTTTGAGTCAATCACTAGGAAGCATCAGCAGTAGATCAAAGGAGGGAGGAAAGCAAGAGCTGACTCTCTCAGATTCCTCTCTAAGGGGTTGCCATGAGCAGGCTGCAGCCCTAAATATAGTAGCACTATGCCCATAGCTGCCTGTGTTTGGGGGTTACAGCCACCTCTTCCCTAAGCATCCTTTAGACTTGGGGTGATAATGGCTCCACACTCTCATGAACTCAGGGTGCTGCACCATACCATCCAGTTCCCTATATACGCTCACACCTTTGTAAATAGTCATTTCAGTGAACTAAATTTGAGTGCACCATCTGCTTTCTGCCAGGACCCTACTGATTCAAATGCCACCCACATGCCAGGCATTATGTTGATCTCTGAATCACCAAATACAGATCAGACCATGTTCTCTAGCATCTTACCTTGTAGAAGATGTCAAGTGCACAACAGCACATTCCCATGAAGGCTGGTGTGTGCAGTGAGGGAGCTGGGTACAGGTTAATGCTTTCCAAAGCTAGCTTCTGAAAATTAAGTTAGAATCAGCCTCTCAGCAAAGTAGTAAAGAGCTCCCACTGTGCACAGCAGAAAATCCAGAGACAACATTCACAGAGCTTACCTTGCTGGGGTTTTTTTGTCAGCTTTTTGGTTTTTTACTGGTCCCCAGAAGGATAAGCAATGATTTGTTTGAGACTTCCAATTTGGAGTTGCAGAAACAGGAACAAGTTCAACGTGAAATCCAGCTATCGAACTGACTGCATTCTTCAGTTCTCCCAGTAGCTTGCTACTGCCTTTTTAATCAGAGTTGTTAGCTTCTGATTACCCTTATAATTAAAATTCACTCATTCTCTAATTTTTGCAAATCTCTTAGAATTTTTTTTTACCTTTTTTCACTTAAGAAATATCACAGTATATCACAGTACTTTTGTTTGTTTGTTTTGCAAACAAGTAGGGTTTTATTTTTCTCACATGACAAGATCATAGGTAGGCTATTGCTGGTATTGTTTTAGCTGCTCAAAAATGTTATCAAGGACTCAGTTTCATTCTGTAATTCTGCTCCACTAATCTCAGCGTATTAGCTTTGCATCCTGATGCTTGTTCTGTTATGGTCACAAGATGAGAGCCACAATTCTGGCATCACAGACAAGTTCAAGGAGATAGATATTCTCTTCCCCTGCCTAGACTCTTTATCAAATATCTTGTGAAAGTTTGCTCTCTTACCTTATTGGCCAGAAGTAGTTCACAAGATCTCCTCTAGCTGCAAGGAATACTGGAAAATTGAGTTCTAGTTTTCATGTGTCTGGTTATCCTCTGTTATTAGTGTTACCAAATTTTTCTTTTTCTCCGTCTAAAACAATCTTTCAGCTGTTCAAGAAGTCCCTGTTTCAGCTCACTACAGAGATATTTTACAATATTTAACCAGAACACACAGGACCCAGAGGAAAAACTTGAACTGGAGGCTTTCAATTTCTTCGTCATTCACCTTTCCTTTTTATTGGAATGTAATGTTTTGCCCTGACAGCAAAGGCTTTAGCTGTAACAACATTATGCAAAATTAAAAGCTCTGTTAGTGTATAGCTGGAGGATCTAAACAGTAAAGGCTTTAGCTATAATAACCTTATGTAAAATTAAGTAAAACTGTTAGTGTATAGCTGGAGGAGCTGAACTATAACTTGAACAGGATCAATGGAAAAGTCATATGCTATCATCTTTCCCTCCCTGTGACAATGTACTCAGGGTAATCCACTTGAAAGAAGGAAAGGTTTATTTTGGCTCACGGTTTCAGAGGTTTCGGTCTGAGGTCACTTGGCTCTGTTGCTTGGGGCCTACGGAAGCACAGTACATCATGGTGAGAGCACGTGGTGGGGGAGGCCTGTCTACCTCCTGGCAGACAAGGAAGCAAAGAGATAGACAGGAAGAGGCCAGGGTCCCAATATCCTCTTCAAGGGCTTTCCCCCAGTGACCTAACTTCCTCCCACTATGTCCTACCTCCTGCAGGTCCCATCATTTCCTAATAGTGCTCCATGCCACAGATCAAACACATGGGACTCTGGGGGACAGACATTCAAGATCCAAAATACAGAAAGTAGCAACAAAAGAGTATCACAATTATTCTAAAGAACAGGGTAGAGTAAACCCTGCAGGTCAGACAGGACTCAGAAACAACAGTAAAGGACAGCAAGAAGGCCACTACACCAGGACTGAACACTCCCTGGTCACCTTCCATCCAACATAGTCATTATCTTCCCAGCCACTGAAATGCACAGGAAGCAGTGTGGCCTAGTGTCAAGAGCAGGGCATCTGGAGCCACACCCTAGAGCTGCCACTTCCTAGCTCCATGATCTTGGGCACATTCCTTGGGTGCTTTTCCTCAACTTTCTCACCAAAAATGGAGAAAATCATAGTGCTTATCTCATATGGTTGTAAGGATTTAATGAAATATAAATATGAAGCACTATAAGCAGTTCATAACAAACATTTAATAAGTATTGTGAATAATAACAGTTATTATTGTTATAGTTTTGTTGTTATTATTATTACTATTGAAATGTGAAGCAACTTCTTCTTTCTACCCACTTCCTGGCCAGCATGAGGTCAGCAGTTTCCTCTGTCACATGTTCCCAGCCATGATGCTCTGCCCTGATATAGGCCCAAAGACAATAGAGCCAAGTGACCATGAACTAAAACCTCTGAAATCATGAGGCAAAATAAACCTTTCTTCCTTAAAAGTTTGTCTCGGGTATTTGTTATAGTAACAGAAAACTAACTAGCACAATGGGTATAGAGTTTCATTTACACAAGACGCATGAGTTCCAGAGAGCTGCCTATAGTTCACAACAGTGTACTGCTCACTTCACATTTTGTTTAGAGGGTAGATCTCATGTGAAGTATATTACCAGAGGAAAAAAATCAAATCAAAACAAAACAAAATCTCAAAGGGGCACAAGAAAACTCTTGGAGACAATGGAAATATTTATCACTTTCAATTGGGTAGTGATTTCATAGGTGTATGTATTTGTTCAAAGCTATAAAAAGGTATATATTAAATATGTGCAGTTTCTGAAATTAATTAGAAGGGCCCCCATATTCTTTGACACCCCTCCCATCAAGAGATAGACCTATGTTCTGGATTCCTGATTCCTAGAATACAGTAGAAGTGAATCTATAACGATTTCTAGGACCAGTTCCTGAGAAAACTGTCATCTACCTATCTCTTAAGATGCTTAATCTTGGACCACAGCCACTATAGTGTGAGAAAGACTAAGCCACCCCATAGAGAGGAAAGAAGTCAAGAACTAGCAACCACTTGCCAACTGTGTGGGTGAGCCATGCTGGAAGTAGATCATCCAGTCCCAACTGAGCTGCTCCAACTTACACTTAGCTGAGCTGGCCCACCATCCCTACCAAATTGCAGATACGTGAGCCAAAAAAAGTTTGTTGTTTCAAGTCACAAACTTTGGGGGTAGTTTGTTATGTATCAATAGATAATTGGAAAACCAGTGGTCAAATCCATTGAGTTTCATATTCTCACTTATAAAATGTGTGATGCTGGGTGCAGTGGCTCACACCGGTAATGGCTCACACCGGTAATGGCTCACACCGTTAATCCCAGTGGCTCAGAAGGCTAAGGCAAGAGATCTTGAATTCAAAGCTAGCCTCAGCAAAAGCAAGGTGTTAAACAATTCAGTGAGACCCTGTCTCAAAATACAAAATAGAGCTGAGGATATGACTCAGTGGTCAAGAGCCCCTGAGTTCAGTCCCCAGTACTCTCACCTCAGCCAAAATGAGAGTGATAATAATACTTGACTCTTTGGGTTTATGACAAAGTTTAAATGAGATATTAGACATGAACTTAACTCTGTTTATCATACAGGCTAAACAAAATAGTAGACTTGAAGTGCCCAGCCTTTATCTAGAATTCAGAGTGTCTCATATCACATCTCCCAGAAGCCAACCCTGAGACAGAGATTCATATACACCTGATTTATTGAGGAAGTACTCTTGGGGGGTCCACTAGGAGTAGGGGGGAGATTAGGCATGGAAAGGGAAGAAGCCACACAAAGATGCAGTTTCTGGTCAAGTTCAGAGAGACTGGCTTCAGCTTGCTCCTGCAGGAGAATTCCAGAGTGTAAGTTACACCTGCGGGAAGGGAACTGGGCTTTCACGCTCCTGAACCTATCAGTCATTATTTATGTGCCATTACTATGTTCCCAGAAACACAGATGCCCAGGCCCTCCTGCTTCACTGTGAAGCAAAGCAATTTCCAGTAGTTTGTAGGAGGTAAGTCTGAAGCCTCCTCCTCAAAAAGGAGCTGCAGGTGCTGGCTACAGGAAGTGAAAACACACCACAGCCCAGCCTGCTGTCCTTTTTGTCCACTGCCATACTATTACAACATTATTGAAGGGAATCTGGGTGAAGCACCAATATTATCTACACAGAGGCACTCAGAAAAACGTTAGTTCCCATGAGGATATACCTTGCCTCTGTTCCTCATGAGGAAAGTCAAATTGAATGAATTAGGAGACATTCTTCCATGGGAAGATTTACACCAGGAAGACAGGAAGCAGTAAATAAAGGCAACAGATTAGTACAATATTACTAAATCCCATCATTTAAGCTCCCGCCTGGCAGCTTTAATAAATGAGATCTATCTCTTCTTGGTGGATGCACTAGCATAAGTACCATCTAAATCAGCCCTGCAGAGAATCAGTGACCTGATGGATATCTATCTTTTAGCTCTATAGCAGTAATGCATGGAAGATTTGGAGGGATTTGTGCCAGGAATCAGAGAATGCAATGTTTGTCTTGAATTAACTAATTTTGATAATCAATGTACTGTGAGCAATTCGCTCCTGCCAAAGTAGATTTGTGACCTGCCTGAAGTACCAATTATGTTCCAATTTATACAGTAAATCTATTTGGTAATATGAGGTGTTGCAGCAATTTTAACACATCAGTAAAGATTGAAATCAATTTATTTTCTTTTAGCGTTTGGTGATAAGCTTTGTAAATAAAACAAGAAGTACAGGGATTCCAGGGCCAGGCCAGGATTTTGCTTCGACCTTTTCTATATCATGGCCATTGTTAAGGGCAGTGTTTGTGATTCCAGGGACACAAGCCCAAGCTGGCTCCCCCTGCTTCACTTACCCCCTTGAATTGCTGGGAAGAGTGGGATTTGCTTCAGGGCAGTCCTAATGCTGAGATGAGCTGGAATTGGAGCTTTAAAAGTGTGCCCAGCATTGCCAGACACAGTATCTCACCCAGTGAAGTAGGCTGGGCAGATGTCAGCATCCTTACTTTACACATAAGGAATACAGATATGACAAGAGACTGACCAAGGACAGAGCGGAGACTCCAAGTTCAAGTCTTCTAACTGCAAATCCTGACTTTTGTCCATGAAATTCTCATGCATCAGTACCAACTTTTAATTTTATAGAGGAGTAAAGAAAACGGAGCCAGGATAATGAAGGAATTTCCCCAGGGTTACTTCCAGGCAGTTTCCCACAAGCTTGGCTCAGCTGTGCTGAAGGGTATGGGAAGCATGAGCAGGCAACTCCTGTCACTCTCCCAGGAATTTCTACCCAAGCATCTAGCACACATGGACAGTGTAGCTTCTTGTAATCCTAGTCTCGCTATGATAGCCACGGTGACACCTCTTTACAGATGGCCGAGCTAGGCTCAATCTCCTTTGTAAGTTCAACTTCCTGTTGCACCCTCCACTTTTCACCAAACAATAAAACTACCAAGTGGAAATGTCGTATTTGGCCCACAGCTGCCAGTCGTGAGTGGAGCAGCACACACTAACAAGAAAAGTAGCAAGAAGCCAAAAATTAATCTAAAGGGAACAAAGTGACCTCTAACCAACAAGAAAACACAGCCCAATCAACCGAGAAAATCGATAGGGTGAAAATGGTCTGCTCAGGAAAATCAATAGGGTGCAAATCAACTGCATTCAAGCCTATAGCCTTGCACCTCCACCTGACCCCAGAATTGAACCACATCATTCCTGCTTCCCAGAGACAGCTTTTTGCTCATCTTAACCTCCTCCCTGCAGTAATGGCCTCTTTATCTCAATGTATATTTAGACCCTAAAATGCCCTCAATCTTGTCACAACATGAAGATTTCCTTTCCTCTTTGGTCTCCACTTTTGCTCAGGGCAGCATCAGTTCACATCTAGATTATTTCCAGTAACCACTTCTGGTTCTGTGTCCATCTGTCCCTCATGTATCTGGCAAGCAAAGCTCAGAATAACCTGCTTCTTTGTCTCCCATTACTCCCTTACAGGAATCCTCTGCCTAATGGACAAAATCTCCTGAAACTCAAAGCTTTTATTCAGGAAGTTTCTTGAAACATCTGTTCTCTTCTCCTTCTATGAGTTCAAATTTTCACACCCTTAGGGGTTGAGCTAAAGGCTCTCTTCTGTACTAAGCCTTCCGGGAACATCAGAAACTTCCAAAAGATCTCTCTGTGCCTATGGAAACTTTTATCTGCAATTTTTATTTGTACATTAAGAACATGCCCACTTCCAGAGTTGTGATGCTAGAGGGAAGAAGTGGGGTGGTATTTCTAACAATACTTTAAACTCCTGGAGGAAGAAAGCACATATTGGCATGTGCACTGGGATGAGGGCCTTGGTTCCCATCCAGGGTCTTCCTCTACTGACTGTGGTACCTGGGCAAGTGATGGACTTAATCTATAAAATGTGATGGTATTGTCAGAGGTCTCTAAGGTTCCTTATCATTC